ATCATAATAATAATAATAATAATAATAATAATAATAATAATAAGAAGAAGAAGAAGAAGAAGAAGAAGAAGAATAATAATAATAATAATAATAATAATAATAATAATAATAATAATAATAATAATAATAATAATAATAATAATAATAATAAGAAGAAGAACAATAATATTAATAATAATATTAATAATAATAATGATAATGATAATAATAATAATAATAATTAATGATAGTAATAATAATAATAATAATAATTAATAATAATAATAATAACAACAACAACAACAACAGCAAAAGCAACAACAATTATAATAATAATAATAACAATAATAACAACAACAACTATAACAACAACAACAATAACGACAACAACAACAGCAACAGCAACAACAACAATAACTATAACAACAATAACAACAATAACAATAATAATAATACTAATAATAATAATAATATTAATAATGATCTGGCATGAGAAGTTAGAATAATAATAATAAGAATAATAATAATATTAATAATAATAATGATAATGATAATAATAATAATTAATAATAGTAATAATAATAATAATTAATAATAGTAATAATAATGATAATAATAATAATAATAATAATAATTAATAATAGTAATAATAATAATAAATAATAATAATAATAATAATAATAATAATAATAATAATAATAATAATAATAATAATAATAAGAGCACTCAGTAGAGAGCATATCTCCGCCCACCGCCTTTACTTCAACCACCACCTCTACTACTCCACCACACTTCGCTCGCCTCCTCTTCAAATACGCACATTATTTTCAAAGAGGGGCATTGTTTCCACTTTTAGCATATGTTTTTAGGGACTCTTTTAAGAATATGCTATTTTCAGATATTGCAATTCGAATTTCACCAAAATTAAATGTCGGCCTACTTTTGACTACATATGTTTTGAACACAGAATTCACGCAACATTGAAACGGTACATTGAAACATTTTATTTTCAACTACTGATTGTAACAAAAATGTGACAACCCACATACTTTCCAAAAACCACCTACTTAAAAAACACACTAACCGGCCAACCGGAAACGCCTTTTATTGTATACCTACCAGTTGCTTACTTCTGCTGGTTAAACACACAGAAACATTTTACTTTTATAACTGACAAAAGAAATACATGTCTAGTATTGGTGTTGACATGGAAATATTTCTCAGATAGTCAATGGTTCTTAGCGTCACATATTTATATATAAAGATGCATTAAAAATATTCCCAATTTATTCCTAAAAACTGAAGTTAGTACATATAAAACGCTGTACACTTTACTGTAATTGTACTAACTTGAATATTTCTCACACTGCTGTTGTTATCTGCCTATGGTATATGGTAATCTTGGTCCTCATATCCACAGCCTCTTCCGATCGTGACAAAAATGTAAACACTTGTCATTTTTATCCATCGATCCATTTTTGAGATATTCAAGGCTGGGATTTAATGGCCCTCAAATGCACACCCGAATTTCGATCGTCACTAACACTTCATAATTTCTTCCTTGTAACTTGGTTAAACTTTCACGAAAAGTTTCATTCAGATCAGTTAATTAGTTTTTGAAATATTTGGTCTGGGACGTTTTTCTTTGATTGGTCCTCATATGCACACCCTACTCCGGATGGTCACCAAAATGTAATGATCCTTGAGTAGTACCTAACAATCACTGTAACTGCCATTTAGATCTGTGCAGCTGTTTTGAGATATTTTGAACACAAGAAACACACAGGACATTAAAATTGAAATGATACTCAAGTTCACACACGAATTTAGATCGTCACCAACACTTAATAATTTCTTCCTTGTAACTTCACCAAACTTTCATTCATATTAGTTGATTAGTTTTTGAAATATATCTTGTCTAGAACTTATGCTCTACAATCCTTTAATTGGTCCTCACATCCGCACCCTACTACAGACCGTCACCAAAATTTAATTATTTCTTCATTGGTTTATACTAACACTCCCTGTTACTTTCAATTATGTTTGAGCATCCGTTTTTGAGATAATTCACAACAAAATACACACAACACATAAAAAATGTTACACACACATACAGAAACTTACACGACTGAAAACATCTTCTGGCGGAAATAATAATAATAATAATAATAATAATAATAATAATAATAATAATAATAATAATAATAATAATAATAATAATAATAATAATAATAATAATAATAATAATGATGATGATGATGATTATAATATTAATAATAATAAAATAATATTAGTAATAATAATAAGACCACCATTTAAAAAAAATGTTCGTAGAATTTTTATTTATTCTATCGCTTTTGCACTTATTACGTTTTGCTTATTTATATTCGTTCTTTTAGCATGTTTTTGTGTGTGTGTTTGCAGTCGTGAACGTACTGAATATAAAATTTTGTAATGAATATTAAAAGAAGTCGTAAAATCTTTAAATCGTAACCAGTACGGTAATCTATATAAGTCAGTATGTGAGCATTCAATTTGACATAGTACAGAAATGAAAAAGCGACTGCCTCTGCATTCCCCTTCCTAATTGGTCCATCTTTGCACGCCCCACCTCCATAAAGGTAGTCCTGGATACGGTCCTCACCCAAGAAGAAAACCAGCCAAAAAATAGCTGAAAGTACGAGATTAAGTGTCTAGACTAAACACTATCAAAGAGACCTCTAAAGAGACCACTTCATGGAAAGTATACTCACAAAGACTACACCAACCAGAAGGAGACATTGAATATAAGATCATCCGTGGCTCTGTGGGTGCAGTCTAAAACAGGAAACTGAATCTTGATCTCAGCACATGAACAAAGCCTTAAAACTAACGTAAGCAACGCTAAAATAATGAAAGACGATTCTGACCCTTTCTGTCACATCTGTAAGAGGACTGATGAGACAAGATTGTCTGATGTCCTGTCTTAGTTATAAGGGACCCAAAGTACGCCATGATTGGCTATATCAATAATATCCATTGGACTCTAACAATACACTAGCAATAATTAACAATACACTAGCAATAATAATAATAATAATAATAATAATAATAATAATTATTATTATTATTATTATTATTATTATTATTATTATTATTATTGTTATAATTATTATTATTTTTAATGTTTATATATATTGTTTGTTATAATTATATGTAGTGATGAAGTACCAAGAACGGAACGGCTAAAGCGAGCTGATGAAATAGACCTTTAGCAATACTATATTAAATCTGCTGTAGGATAATTTATAAAGTTGTATTTGAATTGTTAATTTGCAGAGAACGAATTTGATAGTAAGAATTTGTGCAAACTGCACACAAATCCAGATAGTGGATGGTTCAGCTACTCAGATAGCTTGAAACCTGGAAGTAAGATTCGTCTCGGTTGCTTTGGATTACCATACATACAAACAATACCAGGTTTTGAACGCACGTGTGTTAGAGACACTAATCCTGGAAGCGAACTAAACTACAAATGGTCTCCGGATATATCAGAGTTACCGCAATGCATTCTTGATACAGACTGTAAGTTTAATTGATTATACAATAGCCAACTAATTACATTATAAATTGATAAATAAACTATTACTACACGAGGAATAAAACAAGAATAAACATTAGTCTGAAATAGACGTTTGGATGTATCAATCAATCGATCAATCAATCAATCAATCAATCAATTTATTCATCAACTTTAGGCCATTGGCCCTTTGTATACATAAAGAACCAAAATAATAGCGAACAATGTGGAAAATCAAATAGTTAGTTGTAAAAGGTTATCTATCTCCGTTCTCCTCTTAAATGCATGGTGTAAATAAATGCATATTTTTTTTGTATTATTAGTGGACTGTGCGAGCTCATTAAGGAAATAAATTATATTGTGTAGGGAAACGAACATAATATCATGGGATGTATTTTTCTCTTAAATCACTGTATAATTTACATTTGAGAAGAAAATGTAATTCATCTTCAATATCCCCCTTACAAAAGCAAATTCTATCCTCGAAGTTAATATTTAACTTTCTACCTTCCTCAATTTTTAAGTTGTGGCTAGAAATGCGGAATGAAGTAAAGATCTTTTTGAAATATGGATTTAAATTAGAAGAAAGATAGTTTTCAAAAGCAATATAATATTTGAATGAACGGTAACTTTTTAGCCTATTTGACTAGTTAACTTGTGAGTCCCATTCTTGTTGGTCAATATCTAAAGAACGTTGTTTAACAAGACTTAAAAAGCAAACATCATCACCAACACCTTGGTTAAGCCATGCTTCCCCGAACCCATAATGTAAATTCATATTAAATCAGAAAAATAACTCCGTTAATTTGGCTGTAAGAGGCGAGTTAGGCGATATAGTGTACGAGTCAATAGAATATATAAACTTGTTAAGTATTGGTTACGTATTCTAAAAATCGATAGAAATAGACGTTTGGATGTATTAAACATTGTAAATTAATAGAGCTCCTTGAAACATCCGAGTTTTTGACAACCAATATGAAACACTGCTTTCAAACTGTTCAGTATTTATGAGGACATGTAATATTTTGGTATAATTTATGTTTAATATCAATCGGCATTAAACGTACATAAATATTTTTATCTGAAATAAAGAGTATTAATACTTATTTTATAATCGAGTAGCTGAATGTAGATCTGAGGTTGTCCGTGGTGGATCCCAGTCGTTTAAGGCATCATCATTAAGCTCTAAAAACAGGCCGACACACGGTCGCTTGTATGCGAGGGATGGAGCATGGATACCTAAAAATCAAGAGGTTGGACAGTGGCTGGAAGTAGATCTTGATCATTCAATGGATGTGTATGGAGTGAGGACACAGGGTAATTACGGGAAAAAATCCTGGGTTACCCTTTATAAAGTGGCATACAGGGAGAAAGACGAATCCCCGGAATCGTTTGTCAACAATGAAAACGAAGAAGAAGCGGTGAGTATTTTCCTCCTTTTATCTAGAAAAACGTTTATCGTACTTAATTATGTGATTCTCCTCTTCTACATCGCAGAGCTGGAGCCGAGAACCTGTTCAACACTAAACAGCTAAAGTGTTCGTTGAGAATTTCTTTCGATTGTATAATGGCTTTGGCTTGCATTTACAGATATATAT